ATATATATATAAATGAACAAATCGAAACAAAATAAAAGTTTTTGAATTTTTAGTTAACCCAATGTTTATTCTTATTGCCGATTTTACTATTTATGGATTGACTGGAAATATCACATGACAAAACAATTTTTATTGATTTTTGATTGGAAATTTTTTCCCAAAATTCGTCGTCGTGGCGCAGTAAGTTGCGGGATTAGGTATCCTGCACTGTATAAAGAATAATATCTTGTAATAATAATATTTTAATATTACTTGGCTGTAACTTATTATTAATCATTTTGATGCTTTACAACAAAACATGAAAATTGTCCTAAAACATGATTTATTTTAATACAGCAGAATAACTACTTTAAACTGAATTAATCAAATATAATCTTCAAAGATGACTTTTCGCATACTTGATATATGCTCGGGAGTAGTGTTACAACATCCACCAAGAATAATTCTATTTTCACATTTTTCAATCCAACTTTTTGCTAAATTAACAAATTCCTTTATTTTCAAACCAGTGTTTTCGCTCCATTTATGCTTTCCCTCATCCCAACTGTTTCCTCCATCTGGATAACACACTATCCATTTTTTTTCATATTCTAATGAATTTTTTTTTGCTTTGTTTCTTAAGTTATCAATAAGTGAATTTATAAATTTTGGGTTGGTACAATTGACTCCAACTCCAATCACAAAATCATATTTACAAATTTCCATAAAACTTTCTAAAAAGCTTTCTCCGTGACAAATTTGCTCTTCATTTCTACAAGAAAAACTTATCCAACACATCATATCAATATGTTCTTTCATAATAACTTCACATATAATTTTTGCTTCCACCAATGATGGAATAGTTTCAAAAGCAATCAAATCTATTTTATTAAATTTGTCTTTAAATAAATTTAATTGATTCTTATGGAATGATTCTATTTGTTCTCTAGTTGCTGTTTGATCCACATAATCTCCTTTATATTCTGACCCATCACACAATATTGCACCATATGGTCCCATTGATAATGCTATTAAAGGTTTGATTCTACTTTTGTTCTTGTTATTTGTATGAGGATTTTTGCTATTACTTATTATTTGATTTTGGTATTCTTTCCAAAATATGTCTCTTGCATTGACTGCTATATCTACTGATTTTTGGATTATACCAACTGATTGTTGTTCTGTGAAACCTTGTTTTATGAAGCCGTCTAAAAAAGCCTGATAACTATACATGTAGATTATATACATAAAAACGATTGTTTGTTAATTTATTAATCATCTCAAAACACTACTTTAAATAAATAAACTTTATCAAAAATTTATTATTATGGTTATACAAACCTACAAGTGCTAATAATATCAGCACCAGCTTTTAAATAATCTAAATGTGACTTTTTGATAGAATCTGGATCTTGATATAAATATATTGATGACCATAAATTTGTTTTATATAAATCTTTATTATAAATCTTTTCTAATTGCGTGGCCATACCACCATCCAAAATTAAAGGTAATGAATAACCATCAAGAAATTGTTTTAAGTTCATTTTATTATTTTAAGAAATAAAAGGGAATCAATACTAATGTTACACAATATGGCTTCACTTTATTGAATTTTAACATCAAGCCAGTGTTCGGTTTTTATAATAATAATGAAAAATCATGTCTGTGTCCAGCTTATTATTATTACAAAAAGTCTTGTCAATATTGACTTAAGAAATACAAATAAGGAAATTATTTCCTAATTCATTTACAAGACCATCTGATTGAAGTGAAAATTCATTATTTTTTTGTATATTTTTGTGAAAAGCATATGAATGTTTAAAAGTGAAACAATTTTTGTCAGTAATATCCATTTAATTCCAATTGTGATTTTGACACATACATGACCTTGCATTATTGTCATATTCTATGTGTAAGCATTCTCCAAAAACCAATCTTCTAATATTTATAGATTCATTCAGATTTTGCTTTGTTTTTTTTTTTTGTTTATGAACAATAAAAAAATGCGAATCATGAATAAATTTTTTTTTTGAGATGAAGATATTTCAAATAATTGTGACATGTCTCAATTGATTATAACATTATAACATTTGCTTCAATTAATTAATTATAGTGCTTGTTTCAATTAATTATAACATTTGTTTCAATTAATTATGACATTTGCTTTACTAATTGTGACATTTGCTTGATACTTAACCTTCGGCATGCCATATAAGAAACAAATAATTGTAACAATCTAAATTTTTTTTTTAAATAAATAATTTTCAATTTTTACAAAATGACAACTATGGAAGGAATTGAAAATGATAAAAATATTACATTTAAAGAGTACAAAGAAGCAAAAAGGAATTTGAAGGAATGGGAGGAGGGAGATGAACAGAAAAGGTTAGATGTAGGGTTCCTAACCATAATTATAACTCCATATTCGAATATTCATAAATCCAAAATTTCGAATTTCGAATATTATTTTGGATACTTGTAATTATTATGGATACTTGTAATTATTATGGATACTCGTAATTATTATGGATGCTTGTGATTATTTTGGATGCTTGTAATTATTAATTATTTCAGATATTTCAAATACTTTATTTAAAATATTTCAAATACTTGTATTTGTAAATATTTAAATATTCAACAAATCACAAATGTATCTACTAAATTATATTTGCTATAAAAGAAAAAAACATTGAAAAT